GCTTGCGAACAAGGAAGGAGAGATTGAGGGTACTCGACAGAAACATTCACTTGCTCTGGTTTTAGCGAACACGCCCGCAGACTCGAGTTCATCAAACTTGTGTTTGAAGTTCAACAAGCATGTCCCGGTTGTAATGGGGGAGCCTTCCTTTCCTCTGAGGAGGCAGTGTCCCATATTTATAACTGCTTGTATGTTTCCACTGAATCCATTATATTTGGCAACAGAAGGGTTTAAAGACATCTTCAAATTGATTTTGGAGATCAAGAAATTTGTCCCTTACATCTTTGGAGGCAGTTGTCAGGGTCTAGGAGATATTTGCTGAATATGGTGGCGGTACTCTGGGAGGTGTTGAAGGCATGTTGGCACATCCAGGTATGTTGGTGGGAGAGGCTATTATGGCTCTGATCTGGCAGAGATGTTCATTGCGTTTCCAGCACAACAGGGTCATCAAGACTGTTTGTGACTCTGAGAGAGTGGCCAACAGAGTTTATTACTTGTTGGGAGGCCATGCTCTTTGGAATTTGTGTGCAGAATTAGAAGGACTGTCTAGTCTTGGCTCAAAGGGCCCATTGAGCATCAGGATCACAGTCACTTGGTGTAGTTAGTTCGATGAATTCACCAGACCACTGTTCGGTGTGATGGAGCTCGAAGCAGGAAAGCTTGGGTTCTCCTGATGGAAGCATCCATGTGAGGAAGGCTGCCGTAATGTACAACCTCAGAGCCTCTGATTACTATCTGGCTTTTGGAAGGACGATGTAGCGATGTCGTTGGATGACTGAAAGGGTATACCAGCTATGACATCCACGTCAAGATGCTTGACAACAAGAGCATTGAGTTTGAAGATGTATGAACCTCTTGTCAGGTTACATTGTATCTCGCCTAGTACCTCCAATGGTGTCATGCCATCAGCTTGGCGGGCTGACTGAGAAGTAGGTTTGATCGTCAGGCCGAGGCCCTTGGCAAAAGAGTCAGTTACCATATTTGTGGTGGCACCTGTGTCAAGTGTAAGTTTCACAGGGTGTTGTAAGTAGTATGTATACAGCACTGGGGACTGGATAACATCCACACGGCAAACTGTTGGAGAGTCTATGAGAGGATCAGGGTTGGATTGCCCATCACTAGTTGTTGGATCATCTTGCTCTATGTAGGCCTGTTCATCATCATACTCATCATCTATGATCATGCGGGAGAGGCTCAAGCAGCTCTTGTCAGAGTCTGGTAAGAATCTGCAGTCAACGAGGTTATGTGATGAAAAGGTTTGACGGCCAGCAGTTTTGCAGAGGATGCAATTCTTAGGCTGTTTGCGACGCATTGTGTGTTGAGGGTGGGCCTTGAACCTTCTGCCTGGGTTGAAGGTGGAACTCCTGAGTATCTTAGTGTCTTCTATTGAGCGAAGTTCATCGAGGAGAGACGCCAAGGCTTGTGAGATTTCCGGTTTAAGGGAAGCAATAGATCTGTTTCACAAGTTGTGGCAAACCTGGATGAATCAGTTGAAGCCAAAGAACCACACTGTGGTTAACAGATTGTCTTCAAAGAAGGCTGTTAATCGTTGGAAAAGGTCCTCAGGTCTTTCAGCTGGCTTGAGAGTAATATTAACAAGGTCTAGGAAGTGTGCACCAGTAGATTGGAAACCGAAGTGTTGCCTGATTTTCTGCCAAATGTCAGGGAGAGAGGTCGAACCCTTGATGATAGAATTTCTTGAGATAACAGAGCAGTAGTTCGCGATTTGTCCGAGCATGAGTTCAAGTTGAGCAATTTTCTGAGCAGCAGTTTTACGTCGTGCCTGTGTTACGGAATCAGATTGTAAAGCCTCTGTGGGATTAGCAGCACTTTTCTTCTGCCAAGTGAATCCATCGTTTAAGAAGGGTGCAGAAGTTATTGTCCAAAGACAAAATATAAATCAGATTCTGTCTCCATTCTCGAAAGAATTGATAGTCTCATTAGTAGTAGCTGCCACTGCTTGGAGTGCACGTGCTGCAGCCATTATATTCCTGAATGGCGCTCACGAAGTTAATAATTGACGTAGTTTGCTTGGGCCTACAAGAACGTAATAGCACTCGATCGCACTGCTTACCGGAGGTGAAAGGTGTCGTGGATTACTTTGTTTGTCGAAGTAAATGTCTTCCAACGTGGGTAAAACCGCTGCCACCACGCCAGTAAACAAAAACACCAATGCTCAATGCAGACGCGGCGAGGCCGAACATGTATTACCCAAAACTAGGAATGGCACGTACAGAAGTAGGAACAGTATATACACGAAAAGAAACGAAGTGGCGATATGCATAACATATAGTGAGTGTTTTTAAGTGAGTCTAAACTTTTGATGGGCAGTATACATTGTAACATCTGTTTTGAAATTATAGATAATGAAATTTGTGCAGCTATGATCATGGCGAGTATGATAACTCATACAAGTGTGCACTAAAATTAGGGACCTACCGGTTAATGTCTGTGTGAACACACCTGTCTGTGTTTTATTGCAATAGGCAGTCTCTCCTTGTATGTCATATATAAAAAATGTACCCTAAGGTCAGTTATTTAAACTATAATGTAATTTCCATTACAAAAGTATAAACGGTATTACCTACTGATCAGAAAGGCTTATCAGTACCCCACCGCCACCACCCCCATCCTAGGCCTACACCATCCCACACCCTCTCCGTCTCACACACATGCACACACACACACTAATAATATATATACTCTGGCCCATAGACCCAATATTTGACCCTTTTAAACAGACATCATGTGTACGTCAAGAAAGGCAGGCACGTTAAATAGTGGTGCTCAGTCATGGGTATCACTTCGCCATGTGTTTCTAATGATCTCCCAGCATTATGGCGTGGTCCGATGCGCTTAATGAACCCGATGTTAAAGTTACATTACAGAACCATTGAAATACATGTTAAAGTAGTGTTAATCTTGTAACACTATATTTACCCATAACCAACCATTTACGCGGGTACTAAATATACGACAACCCTAACCCTGGTCATGCGAGATTTCAAAGGTATTGAAATAAATGTCCTATAAATACCAGCATATACATATATTACACATGCTAGAAAACACATGAAAACAATGGCCATATTTACACACCTGTGAAATACATGTCAATACAAAGTTGAGTGTTCGTTTATTTTAACACACCTTTAAACGTGTATAAATCTGACAGCCAGATGATACGTAGATTTCAAACGTTGTTCATGTGACCGCCGGATGAAAGGTATATTTCCTAACGTTGGTAAATTGGGTAATACAGACATTTTTGTGCGGTGTATCTTGCACAGCGGATTTTTGTCAAAAGGTAGTGTTTATGTATGTAATAATAATAATAATGTGTCCATTTATAAAGCGCCAAACTCCCACTAGGTATGCTCCTATCGCTAACAATCAAGGCACCATTATTACCCCGGACAACCCAAGCTGCCTGTTAGGCGCTAGAAGGTTATAGTCATATGACTTGTTTCCACCGGGTACCCATTTTCCTGCTGGGTGAACAGAGACAAAGTTAAACAAACTCTCACTTGCCTAAGGTGAGACCTCCTATTATGTGTCACATTTGCTTCGTTGCGGGAGCAGGACTGAAGTCCGTAGATTTACTAACGTACACTGAAAAAATATGACCCCATTCTGTGCCTGTGTAAAACAACGTCCTTCCTTCAAAGGATTAACCGCCAATACCCTTGACTGTTCATTGCTGTCCAACTAAATTACATTTTCCAAAGAATGGTGGACATCATACAAAATGGTTGTCAAAAACCTGAAACAGTCACGCCTGACCAGTTGAGGGAACTATCACTAATTATTACGTTCTATCACTTTTTTGCTTATTAGTGACTGTTAAAAGACACATGAAATGGGTAAGGATTCTTTGTCAGCTGCAGATGAATGGCATATCGTTCCCTTTATGTGAATATTGATGGATACATTTATCGAACAAGGTAATAGCCTGATATTGTTGCTATATCTTTAGTCTGTTTTGATTTTTGATATTTGTATTTTGTTTTCATTCATTTCTTGTAGCATTCAACAGAATCATTTTTCTTGTGAAGTGTAATGAGACAGACAGCATACACTAGGTCGCACTTAAGGTGTGTTTGTGAAAATATAATTCACGTTGACAATCTAAAAATGTCTAGATATTACAGTCATGCTATAAAATTAACTATAAACAGATAGCGTAATTTTATTAAGTTTCAAATGCATACAAATATATTAATATACTAATTAGGATTATAAGACAAAATATAAAGACATATATTGACATCGTTATTTTACAGTCCTAACATATTTTACCACTGGCAGATATAGTCAAACTTCAAAATATTTTCATATTATCATAATAATGAAGATGAAAATATCAATGAGTAAAAACGTTTTGCCCATGTTTTAATGTATACTACCAACAGCGCTTGCGGGTGGCACAGCAGTCGAGGATTATGGGATATCGTCCGGGTACTCACGGGAGAAAAACAATAACAATAGCAACAACCAGTCCACGGAAATTGATCTGGATCAGCGTTTCCATTTTAAATTAACGTGTTCTGATGCTGAATATTTTTATTCTTAAATTCAGGATGGAAACTCGCTGAGACTGCTCTTTGTACACAGCCACAAATCCATCAACCGGTAGAAGTAGACTTGTTAACTTCATGGCAACCTCTTACCAACCTCTCATATATGAGCTTAGCAGGGACTTGAAGCATGTTCAAAATTTTGTGGCAGAGTCCGTCAATACGTGACAGTCATCATCGCAGACCTCAATGACGTCCACCCACAGTTCCTGGGGCTGCCCTACCAATCGTCTGTCCCAGGTTGTATGACTTTTTCGTTGTACTCGTCTGTATTTACTGGATTAAATGATACTACCTGAATCGGGCAATATTCATTTATTTGACGGTTCTTCAAAATGATTTATGCTAGAATGCATACACCTCAGCCGTTTCATACACCTATATGTATCGTTGCAAAATACATTTAGATAACTTGCTCATTTCAGAATGAACCCATCAACGCTGTCATCTTGCTACCGCCGGAAGTGTTGAGAATCCCTGAGCACACAGGGATAGGGGGTTTAGTTGACTACTCAATGAAGGTACGTGCTCGTCAAACATCAAACAATATCAATTAGGAACAAGTGAGTGAGTTTAGTTTTACGCCGCACTCATAATTATTCCAGCGCTATATGGCGGCGGTCTGTAAATAAATCGAGTCTGGACCAGACAATCCGGAGTTATTAACAGCATGAGCATCGATCTGCGCAATTGGGATGCGATGACATGTGTCAAATCAAGTCAACGAGAATGACCAGCCCGATCCTGTTAAGTCGCCACGACAAAGAATGGGTTACTGAAGAACAAGTTCTAAACCCCGAATCTTCACGGGTCAATACAAACGCTTTATAACAGCATTATGGAGCTTTTGTGTGCACCTTTGCTCAATACAGATCTGTGGAAGGTCCGAGCAAGAATGTGCCCCCAGTAACCCATGCTTGTCGTAAAAAGTAAAAGAAAGAATGAATGAATGAATGAATGAATGAATGAATCGCTTGCATTAGTTCACTATTTCACTTCTCATATACCTGTTATTGTACATATGAATAACAAAGCTACTCATTTTAACAGGTTCAGACATCACAAACGGCTTACACAAACAAGTTTAATGTATCCAGGACTGGGAACGTGGCACTGATTGGAAGCCTGGATTACGAAAACTCAGTTTCCATATCAGTTTATAATCATTGCCACTGTAAGTATGTGATAATATCAACAGTTTGGTTCTACTGGTGTTTTGCCCTGCTTAGTGCAGGTCTTGCATGACAAGTGTAACCTTGTGGATTTGAAAGTAAATAGAGATTATTAACCGAATGTGTTTCCGTATCATTAATAATCATATAGTAGGAATAAATATTGTATTATGCGAGGCCTTTTGGCGAGCATATATTTTTATTCCTAATGTATGATATTAATGATACAAGAAACACGGAATCAATAATCTCTTTATCATATAATGTCATTCTTAAAATTACTCTAAAAAGAAGCAACTCGCACCTCGAAGTACTCCGTTTCATGTTTTCCAAAGTCAATTACTGCGGTAACAACTCCAGAACCTCTATCATCTATTCTTACAGAATCACCAAATTTTGAGCATGGGGGCAGCCATATTTGTTTACAAACAATGTCAACTCGCGACGACGTCATCAGTGAAATGTTAAACGTTGTAGGATTCGCATGGTGTGTGGTATAGAGTTTGTGAAAGTAGTTCGTGGATTGACGTAATTTGCATAGATTATCAGATTTGGATACCAAGTTTATCAGATTGCTTTATTGCACCGATGACACCTCCATTAGATGATAAATTAATGTATTACTTACATGTGAGAGAGACTGTTTGTTGAACCTAATAGGTAGTAGCGTTTCTGATTTCTGACAATGACGCGTGACAAAAGATATGGGTGGTTTGTTGTTTAATGCCCACTCAGCTCACTCTTGACAAGACAATCCAGTGATCAACAGCATGGTCATTGATTTACGCCAACTGGGATGCGACGACATGTGACAACAAAGTCGGCGAGTCTGACCACCAATCCCATTCGTCGTCTCTAACGACAAGCTTGGAGTTACTGAGGAGCAACCCGGATCGTCACGGGTCGCATGACGAATGATACCAAGGAAATGCTCATCTTCTTTGCGAACACTACTTCGGCATTACTTGATTGACGCTTATTTTAGAAACATTCCAACTGGAAATAATATAACCAGACAGGTCAGTGATTAATATCATGAGCACTTTCAGACACTGTCGGGGGGTACGATGACCCTGAATCAGTCATTGAGCCTGACCATCAAATCATTTCGTCCCTCCTTGTATACTCAAAGGAATTTTACATATACTGTACATGTCACAGTTAACGTACCGTACTCACTCACCACGTATACCCCTTGCCAGGATGGAGGAGGCCCTGACCAGCGAGGCCCAGCTGTTTGTGACTATAACAGATGTCCAGGACAGACCACCATACTTTACTGGAGAACCTTACTTACCTGATATCTGGGAGGACCATGCTGTGGTGAGGCTATTTTTATTATACACCAGTAGTTGTTCGTGACTGTAACAGATGTCAGGACAGACCACCATAATTTACTGGAGACCACAGGCTACCTGATATCTGGGAGGACCATACTGTGGTGAGGCTGTTTGTATTATACACCAGTAGTTGTTTTGTGACTGTAAGAAATGTCCAGGGCAGACCACCATACTTTACTGGAGAACCTTACTTACCTGATATCTGGGAGGACCATGCTGTGGTGAGGCTATTTTTATTATACACCAGTAGTTGTTCGTGACTGTAACAGATGTCCAGGACAGACCACCATACTTTACTGGCGGGCCTTACTTACCTACGATATCTGGGAGGACCATACTGTGGTGAGGCTGTTTGTATTATACACCAGTAGTTGTTTGTGACTGTAAGAAATGTCCAGGGCAGACCACCATACTTTACTGGAGAACCCTACTTACCTGATATCTGTAGGACCATACTGTGGTGAGGCTGTTTGTATTATACACCAGTAGTTGTTTGTGACTGTAAGATGTCAGGACAGGCCACCATACTTTACTGGAGGACCTTACTTACCTGATATCTGGGAGGACCATACTGTGATGAGGCTGTTTGTATTTTACATCAGTATCTGCTAAACAACCAGTCGTAACTAGACAAGAACATTATTGTCAAGTAGAATTATAAAATATACTGTTTTCAGAACAGCAACGTCGTGACCATCTCGGCACTTGACGGAGACAGAGGCAACCCTTAACAACATCACCTACAGGATCACAGCTGGTATTTACATTTCATATTTCTCAGTAGATGAGGTAAATGAAATTCTTGATAAAGGGCATGCTCGTACAGTGTACATGTCCCCGTGATATATTGTAGGCACCTGTCCTACATATTTCAACATCAACCCAACAAGTGGAACAATGGACCTGATCAAGAATGCGGACAGAGACAGCGGGACAATCCTCCAGAACAACGGGATATGTGGTTATCAATGTCCAGGTGAAATTTTAAGTCCTAACTTTTGTCACTTTCGTTCTTGCGTCTTAGCTAAAGCAAATAACACCACAATCAGGACATTGTTATGCATTCTGTTAAATGCGATCATTTCGTTCGTGCCCATTTCTGTGTGTTTGCTCGTTTAGCGGTTATGATACTGCCTCATACAATTTCAGGGTGATTTATTGACTCACTCTCGGTCTACCGTGTGGTCAAGGCTGTGGAAGTGACGTCCTCGGGTACATTCGGTGCTACCGCCAACGACACGGTGACCGTGACAATCAAGGACAAGAACGACAACTCTCCTACGTTCAGCAGCTCCCACTACGAGGCTACCATCCAGGAAAACATGCCGGCAGGGATAACCATCACTTTCACGACACAATCAGTACATGTGGAGGATTTGGATCAGGTATTGCCATATGCGTGTGCACGTCACATGGGACATGGAGTGTCAGAGTTATTTCAGTGAAATCCTGACACTTTGGCAACCAGCGATTTAAGATATACTCCACATGAAATAAAGGAGGAACAAAATAATTGTTTTGAAGCATAGACCATCATTGTTTGTTAACGTACTCCTCACAAAAAATTAAGCAACAAGTATTTTCAGTGTAAAATCAGTGTAATCTCGATTGCGATTTGTGCCAGCATGTTACTGAAAGGTAAATATTTAACGAAAACATAGCATTTAGTGACTATCAAATTAATTTATCAGATACCATTGATAACCTCATCCGAACACAACCACCCTCAGAAGCAACATGCAAAATGTGTGGCATGCACGTGCTCCACACTTCACACATGTACATCATCGGTTAGAACTTACCAGTAAACCTACCTGTAATCATTCCCCTGGTCCTAACTTCATTTTTATGGATGCCCGTCGACATCGAGAAAGAGTTGTTAATGATGTTGTTTAGATCAATAACATCACACACATGGACTGGCCTGCAAGGTCATCTGCTCTTAATCCCATTGAACATGCTTGGGACATTATTGGAAGTCGTGTTTCCGGTCTCCATGTTCATCCCAGACTCTGGCTGAACTTGAGCATGCGTTACAGAGAGAATGACAGAACATTCTTCACACCAGCAACACGACAAGCTCATTTGGTCAATGTGAAGACTTGTAGCGGGATGCATTCGTGCATATGGTGGTCATACGCGTAACTGAACACGGCTTCACTGTCCAAAACTGACTTAAACTTTTTGCACGACTGTTTTACGGGTACATGCTTTTGATGATTTGTAAGTCTATTATTGCACAATGCCATTTCATATCATTTTGGGAATCGTGCGTACACACATTTCACCCTTCTATTTCCTCATTCAATGATTTGCAATTTCAATAAATGAAAATGTAATGAGACAAAAAAATGTGTTGCTTACTTTTTGTGAGGAGTATATTTAAGTTACAAACTGATTTTTTGTTGAAGCAATAAATACGTTGTGCATAAAGGTTCCATGCCTAATATCTAATATCTTTTTGTATCATACCTCAGGAGAATAGTCAATTATTTCCTAGATTTTACGTTGGAAAATACCTCCGTGTGCATGATTGTTTAGAGCACGGTTCTTATTATAGGGGGACAACGCCAAGCTATCGCTGACACTAGATTCATATTCATCGACGTACTTTGAGAATGTCCCGTCCACGGTCCAGGGATCAGCAAGTCTGCTGATCAGAGTGAAGGATAACATCGTCCTCGATTATGAACAGAGACAGAGCATTACACTGACGGTAACACAACGAAAACATCTGCTTTTGATAATTACAAACACCTTGGTGTCTTTATTAGTAATCAAGTCTTGGGAAGAACAACATATTAGCTCTCCTTTCGTAACATTGGGATGGTGTTGAAATGGAACATTGAAACAGGACTGAGACCATATGTAAGCCAGTGCATCATCTATCTCCTCATGATAGATAGGTCTCAAACTGTTATACTCTATAGAGATGTAACGTATTGATTTCTTTAACGGCCATATGCTGTAATTGATCATCATCTAAGGTGTATCATCAGTGTGCACTGAGACACTGCGTTCAATTACTACACAATATAATAGACTTACGATTTACACGTATCACGATCTTAGAAATGTGATCTTAGAAACAGATGAAACTATATTTATTGCTGTAAATCTAAATTCATCCATTAGGCAATGACAACTCCAATACAATCATTATGTCATTTTAATACTAAAATACCGTTATTCTTCAGGATGATTGCCGCACTTATTTGCACTTAATTATCCAGGTTTGGGCCAACGAAACATCCACACCAGAGGAAACAGTGCATCTACAACCATTCATCTAAATATAACAAATCAGAAGAACAACAGTCTCAACTTTACCATGTCAGAATACAGCGCATCTGTCCAGGAGGGTAGCAGCATCTCAACATCTGTCGTCACCGTCAAGGTATTTGTAACAATGTTACATATATCTTCGCACACCGCCTGCAGCATCTGTCCAGGAGGAGGGTAGCATCGTCTCCATATCTGTCGTCACCGTCAAGGTATTTGTAACAGTGTAACATGTAACTCCACAACACACTGCCTACAACATCTGTCCAGGAGGGTAGCATCGTCTCCATATCTGTCGTCACCGTCAAGGTATTTGTTACAATGTGACATAGCAACTCCACACACACTGCCTACCACAGCATCCGTCCAGGAGGATAGTAGCATCGTCTCCATATCTGTCGTCACCGTCGTGGGCTATTTTGGTAACAGTGTAACATGTAACTTCGCACACCTGCCTACAGCATCTGTCAGGAGGGGTAGCATCGTCTCCACATCTGTCATCACGGTCAAAGTATTTGTAACAATTTTACTTGGTAACTTCACACACACTGCCTACAGCATCTGTCCAGGAGGGGTAGCAGCGTCTCCGCATCTGTCATCACCTTCAAGGGTATTTGTAACAAAGTTTACTTGTAACACCACGCACACTGCCTACAGCACCCGTCCAGCGGGGATGAGTGGGTGGTGGGTGGTGGGGTGGTGGGTGGTGGGGGTTGGGTGGTGTCGTCGTCTCACATCTGTCATCACCGTCAAGGTATTTGTAACAATGTATCTTCCCACACTGCCTACAGAGAATGTGTCCAGGAGAGTAGCAGCGTAATCAAACTTTGTCATCACCGTCAATGTACTTGTTACAATGTAACATGTAACTTCACACACAATGCCTACAGCATCTGTCCAGGAGGGGTACCATCGTCTCCATCTGTCATCACCTTCGGGAATTTGTAAACAATGGGCCGTATGTAACTTCCACACACCTGACCGCTTCCATCATCTGCCCAGGAGGGTAGCAACGTTCCGCTACATCATCCGCCATCACCGTCAAGGTATTTGTAACAATGTAACATGTAACTTCACACACTGCCTAATGCATCTGTCCAGGAATTTATTACCGTCCTCCGACATCTGTCATCACGGTCAGGGTATTTGTTTATGATGTAACATGTAACTTCAAACACACTTGCCTACAGTGCAGCTACTGTTTATGGCATCGTCTCCACATTACATTTCATGTGACGAATCGTTTGTTTGTCAATACCGGTTAATTTACATTCCGCTTTATTTGGTTTGAATAGTTCTTGTGTTGTGATAAAAGAAATGTAATGCACATAATGTTGCAGCATTTAGTGGAACCCACGACCTGCGTGTGTTGCAGATAACCAATCATAATAAATCTGTTACGTAATCTGTGTCCTAATAACATGAAACGATGAAAGATGACAGTACTTTGACGCATGTTTGAATTTTATCTTTCAAGGTTACTCTTTCAGGCTACACACAATGATCTGCCGGAACTTTGGAACTGAAAGCGTATGCACTACGGTGTGCCGACGGAATGTAAGCATCCATCTTCATCTCTTGTGTGTCTTGATCTCTAATATGTCTTGATCTCTTGTGTGTCTTGATCTCTTGTATGTCTTGATCTCTCGTCTGTCTTGATCTCTTGTTGTGTCTTGATTCTTATATGTCTTGATCTCTTGTGTGTCTTGGATCTCTTATATGTATTGATCTCTTTGTGTGTCTTGATCTCTAGTGTGTCTTGATTTCTCTTATGTCTTGATCTCTTGTGTGGCTTGATCTCTTGTGTGTCTTGATCTCTAGTCTGTCTCTTGATTAATTGTGTGTCTTGGATCTCTTTGTGTGTCTTGATCTTTTTGTGTCTTGAACTCTTGTGTATTGTCTTGATCTCCTGTGTGTCTTGATCTCTTGTGTGTCTTGGATCTCTTATATGTCTTGATCTCGTCTGTTTTGATCTCTCGTGTGTCTTCATCTTTGTGTGTCTTGAACTCTTGTATGTCTTGATCTCTCTGTCTGTCTTGATCTCTTGTGTGTGTCTTGGATCTCTTGTGTGTCTTGGATCTCTTATTATGTCTTGATCTCTCGTCTGTTTTGATCTCATGCGTGTGTCTTGATCGCTAGTGTGTATTGATCTCTTGTAGTGTCTTGATCTCGTCTGTTTTGATCTCATATATGTCTTGATATCTTGTGTGTCTTGATCTCTAGTGTGTCTTGATCTTTTATATGTCTTGATCTCTCGTCTGTCTTGATCTCATATATGTCTTGATCGCTAGTGTGTCTTGATCTCTTGTGTGGCTTTCTGATCTTTTACATGTCTTGATCTCTTGTGTGTCTTGATCACTCGTCTGTCTTGATCTCATCATGTGTCTTGATCTCTTGTGTGTCTTGATCTCTCGTCTGTCTTGATCTCTCAGTGTGTCTTGATCTCTATATGTCTTGATCTCTCGTCTGTCGGGGGCGGTGGGGTAGCCTAGTGTATGTTAAAGCGTTCGCTCGTCGCGCCGAAGACCCAAGTTCATTCCTGGCATGGGTTTGCAATAATGTGAAGACCATTTATGGTGTCCCCTGCCGTGATGTTTGCTGGAATATTGCTAAAAGCGGCGTAAATCTAAACTCACTCACTACTCTCGTCTGTCTTGATCTCTCGTCTGTCTTGGATCTCTCTTGTCTCTTGATCTCTTATATGATCTCTCGTCCGTCTTGATCTCTCGTCTGTTTTGATCTTGGATCTAGTATGTCTTGATCTCTTATGTGTCTTGATCTCTCGTCTGTCTTTGATCTCTAGTCTGTCTTGATCTCTTAGCCAATCTTGATCTCTCTTGTCTTGATCTCATATCTCGTCTGATTGGATCGCATACGTCTGTCTTGGATCTCTTGATCTATGTGTGATCTCTCGTCTGTTTTGATCTCGTATATGTCTTGATATCTGTGTGTCTTGATCTCTTGTGTGTGTCTTGATCTCTAGTATGTCTTGGATCTCATATGTCTTGATCTCTATATATGTCTTGTCTTGATCTCTTGTGTGTCTTGATCACTCGTCTGTCTTGATCTCCTCATCGTGTCTTGATCTCTCTGTGTCTTGATCTCTCGTCTGTCTTTGATATCTCGTCTGTCTTGATCTCTCTTGTGTGTCTCTGATCTCTTTGTATGTCTTGGATCTCTGTCTGTTTTGATCTCATATATGTGATATCTTGTGTGTCTTGATGTCTTGTGTGTCTTGGATCTGTCTTGTCTTGATCTTTTATATGTCTTGATCTCTCGTCTGTCTTGATCTCATATATGTCTTGATCTCTTGTGTGTCTTGATCTCTATATGTCTTGAACTCTCGTCTGTTTGATCTCGCGTGTGTTTGATCGCTAGTGTGTATTGATCTCTTGTATGGCTTGATCTCTCGTCTGTTTTGATCTCATATATGTCTTGATATCTTGTGTGTCTTGATCTCTAGTGTGTCTTGATCTTTTATATGTCTTGATCTCTCGTCTGTCTTGATCTCATATATGTCTTGATCTCTAGTGTGTGTCTTGATCTCTTGTGTGGCTTGATCTCTTACATGTCTCGATCTCTTGTGTGTCTTGATCACTCGTCTGTCTTGATCTCTCGTCTGTCTTGATCTCTTGTGTGTCTTGATCTCTTATATGTCTTGATCTCTCGTCTGTCGGGGCGGTTGGGTAGCCTAGTGGTTAAAGCGTTCGCTCGTCGCGCCGAAGACCCGGGTTCGATTCCCCACATGGGTACAATATGTGAAGCCCATTTATGGTGTCCCCGCCGTGATATTGCTGGAATATTGCTAAAAGCGGCGTAAATCTAAACTCACTCACTCACTCTCGTCTGTCTTGATCTCTCGTCTGTCTTGATCTCTTTGTGTGTCTTGATCTCTTATATATTTTGATCTCTCGTCCGTCTTAATCTCTCTCGTCTGTCTTGATCTCTTGTGTGTCTTGATCTCTAGTGTGTCTTGATCTCTTATCTGTCTTGATCTCTCGTCTGGTTTGATCTCGCGTGTGTCTTGATCGCTAGTCTGTCTTGATCTCTTGTATGTCTTGATCTCTCGTCTGTTTTGATCTCATATATGTCTTGATATCTTGTGTGTCTTGATGTCTTGTGTGTCTTGATCTCTAGTGTGTCTTGATCTTTTTATATATCTTGATCTCTCGTCTGTCTTGATCTCATATATGTCTTGATCTCTAGTGTGTCTTGATCTCTTGTGTGTCTTGATCACTCGTCTGTCTTGATCTCTCATGTGTCTTGATCTCTTTGTGTGTCTTGATCTCTCGTCTGTCTTGATCTCTTGTGTGTCTTGATCTCTTATATGTCTTAATCTCTCGTTATTAATATCCTACACATTTGTATCTGAATATATTCGTTTCTGCGACATCTCTGTTCAAGGTTCTCCATCGATTCCTCTGGTCTCGTAACTGTGGCCTCTGACCAGCTGGACAGAGAGACCAAGTCTGTGTACTACATATCGGTGGAGGCCACAGACCCCGGAGGATTGAAGGACACCGCTCAGCTCACTGTCAGCATCACGGACGTCAACGATAATGCACCGGTATTCAGAAGAGACTACGACGGGTATTTGAAAGAAAATGAAACCTCCTTTAGTAAACCCATCATTGTGTCGGTGAGTTTACCAAATGCAAGGTATTGTGCGCAAGCTCACGTTAGCTGTTCCTTCATAGTTTGAAACAAACGATATTTTGTTTCTACATGTTGTTAAATCTACCAGTAACCGATTAATGCAGTCACGTTGATGCAAGGCTTTTATCTGGACACCTTTTTATCGCCAACAAGCATCTATACTAAAAGTTATGGAAATGAATACGTGGATGCAAAAGGACATTTTCCTCAATACAAATTACATACCTTTTACGTCTTTTAACCTTAACTATGATGACATTGTCTACATTTGCTTCCTCTTCAGTTCCCTCAGGAAACTAGTATAGCAGTACTCAGTGATTTTACTAAGCATATTTTCAGTCAGCGACAACAAAAGTGGAAACATCTTCAGAAAAAATATATCTAGGTGTTCAAGGAAATTGCATACATATATATATATACACACACACACACACACACACACACACACATATATATATATATATATAAATATGGCAAACTGGAATAAAATATGTTTTTCATAATCAAAGTTAACGTTTAAAATCTATGTCCATTTTCAGCTGACATTACAATTTAAACAGCGCAACACCAATACTAATAGTATACATATATTAACTTTATCTTCCAAAGGCCACAGACGCTGACATTGGGGTCAATGCCCAGGTGAGGTACAGCATCAGCCGGACCTACCCAATCGGCCTCGACTCCCACTTCGCCGTGGATGGTGTCACCGGTGTCCTCTCCGTGGTCGTTCCTCTCATGAACAGTGACACTAGCCAGGTTGTTGTATCGGTGCGGGCCACGGACTCTGGCACACCTCCACTATTCTCTGATGTTAACGTTACAATTAGTCTCCTGGTGGGTATCATGCGTCATATCTGGATATATATCATATGTCATATCTGGATATATATCATATGTCATATCTGGATATATACATTCATTCACATATTTCAATTTATGATTGAAAAATAATTGAGTTATATCGGAGTCAATCAATGTTGATATGATAGCAATGAATGCTTTGAGAGTGCATCGCCACTTGCACTTCCTTATGACCATAGTTGTTTGTACAGTAATCGCTCTACAGTGATTTATCGACCTTCTTGAATACCGTCAGAATCAAGAATGACACCCCATGCACGTGTATGGGGATACTTCGTTGTGCACGTGCATCCCGTGCGTTGTGTTTAGGGGTGGTGATACCGAGAAATGGTGGTGCGTTCATAAGATGTCTGTCTTTGAAAAGTTTGTTAACGCTTAATATACTTCCTATCCAAATTGAAAGTTCAGGTTCCCCTTCCTTTTCAAGAGTAAATATATGCGTAACACTATTAATGTTCCATTTTCCCAGGGACCAGAAATATGTAGTAAAAGAAATAGGTGTCAAACCAATTACAACCCAAGAAATGTTTTGAATTATCTATTGTATCATGAAATCAAATAGGTTTACAAATCAATGCATATTAATGTAAAGTAATGACCAAGACAGTACAGTTACAAAGGCAATAGGATATAAAATAGCAGTGGTATATGTAATGAAATAGGTGACAATAGTGTTCTCCAAGCAGCAACAGTGGTCAAGCTTACGAACCAGTGCCTAGATTTTCGAAGCTCTCTTAGCGCTAAGATAGTCGTAAGTTAATGTTAATGTATGGCACTTACGACTATCTTAGCGCTACGAGAGCTTCGAAAATCTAGGCCCAGGCCTAGGCTGGATGACCAGGGTGAACGTAACAGTCTTCCCAGACTACTGGTCTTGAAGTGAGTGAGTTTAGTTTTACGCCACACTCAGCAATATTCCAGCTATATGGCGGACTGGTCTTGAAAATGAGATGAAGATGTAAATGTGCGTGTCTAAATGCCTTCTAGGAGGTTTTAACTTTATGTTGTATTAGTTGATGAGTTCTAGAAACGTCTATATTACTTTTGACTCCCAGTCTGAAAATAGTAACAAACACACCACTTACCACTCCTGGGTCTTAACAAACAATGTAGTACAATTGCATCACTGTTTCACGATGAATTACACTGCCACATTATAATATGAAACATTTTTTTACAGACACCTGCACGAACATGTAGAGAAACAGGTAAATTATACCGGAAATGCAATTTGTCATGGATTGGGTATACATGTATTTTTCAGTATTTCAGCTGGGAAATAGAGAGAATTGAATGTGATATTGCTAAAAATAATTTTAACTTCGAGCTTTCGTATCGCTGATATCATGTTTGCAGGAATGAATGAGTTCGAACTAGGTTCTTTTGCGTGACGAGCGAAAGCTTTAAACAGTAGGCTGCACCACTGCCTCCTTATCAGGAAGTAAAATATCCGTTGATTTCGTTTTTTGTTTATATCTAGAATGGGAAAATAATGAGTGAGTGAGTGAGTTTGGTTTTACGCCACTTTTAGCAATATTCCAGCAATATCACGGCGGGGACACCAGAAATGGGCTTAACACATTGTACCCATGTGGGGAATCGAGCCCGGGTCTTCGGCGTGACGAGCGAACGCCTTAACCACTAGGCTACCCCATCACCCCGGGAAAATAATGCATCTGACGCTTTTGGTGTATGTACATATAAGTTATCCTTGGCCCTAAGGATGTTTTCTGTCACGCCCAGCGGAATCTGTTCGGCGTATAATCGAGACTGGTTATTCTCTGGCATTGACGTTTTATATTTACATAACGCAAATTCATTAGACTGTTACATTAATCTGTGATGGATGGGTGTGGGTTGATAAAATATGTCCATTTCTTGATATCTTACGGTTTTTGTTTCTTTTTGTTCCCAGATTGCCGTCACAACTTTACAAATTGCGAGTTGGCCAGATGTGAAGATCCCGCCCACCCAATATGTGTGCTGTGTCGGGGAGGTCATACCCTCTTCCATGGACAGTGCAGGGGTTAGTTTGAAGAGATTGTAGCTTCCATAAAATTCATTGTGGTAGAAATAACATATTTGTATGTGAGTGAGTGACTGTTACTCCTTTAGCAATACTCCAGCAATACCATGGCGGGGGACACAAGAAATGGGCCTCTCACATAGTGAACTTGGGTCCTCGGCGTGACGAGCGTTTTAACCACTAGGCTACCCTACTGCCCGATTTGTGTTTGAAACTCCGTATTTGTTTCAGCGTGTCCACCCTGCACACCCATCCTGCACTGCGAGGAGGAGGAGACATCATCCAGTTGCCTCTTCAGGAGGTGCAGCAGGTGCGAGCAGGGATTCTACCGAAAAGCTGGTGCTTGCGAGGGTAGGTTAAGAATATACTTTGATGTACAATTAATAGCTGCAGGATACACAGCAAACAGTGATGCATCAAAATCAATCAGTCAATCACAGCATTATCGTTTGTGGTAGGAATCACTGTCAAATACTAATACCTGGTATTGGTGACCTTGGCAGCCATCACGAACACATGCAAAGGCAAGTCAACTGTTCACATGAAAGTATTTTCTACAAAAATAAAAACCAACAACCCCTAAACCCAAGAACCAATCAAAACAACAACGAAATTTATAGTAGAAGTCAAAATAGGGATTTGTATTAGACATGCTTGTCACTGATGCATCATGATTAGAAATGCCAACGACACGTTTACTATTACGCACAACTTTGATGAAAGCCACGACCTTGATGAAAGCATGTCTTAGACCATATGTGTACTGAATACAGGAGTCAACGTGGCTTGTCACGCTGAAGACCCGGGTTCGAATCCCCACATGGGTACAATGCGTGAAGCCCATTTCTGGTGTCCCCCGCCGTGATGTTGCTGGAATATTGCTAAAAGCGGCGTAAAACCAAACTCAGTCAGTCAGTCAGGAGTCAACGATCAGCGGATCCTTCTGCAAGAAAGAAACACAACTGTGCGACCACTGTACGACATGTGTCCCGTACCATTGCTTTCACTAAAGATGTGGCACTGATCAAATTACTCTGATTAACAGCGAAACAATCGTACTTTTGATGTCCAAACGGTTACTTGAAAACGAGAAAAACTAAACTATCATATATAGAAAACACCACCACTGCAGCACATCTGGTTTTATGCAGAAGTTTACACTGTGTATGAGGTAAGCTCCTGATATGAAGTCTGTGTGTGCCCGACACGTTGCCTCTGCAACGTGAACAAAATAGAAAGAGAACAAACTAGAAACAAAACAGCAACAAACAAATAGATAAAATAAAAACACCAAAAAAAACACATTACAAAATCACACCCACAAAATACATACTATAACACAAGGCCTGGCGCTTAGGAAAAGCTCGGGATCGGGTGGTCAGGCTCGCTGACTTGGTTGACACATGTCATCGGTTACCAACTGCGTAGGTCGATGCTCATGCTGTTGATCACTGGATTGTCTGAACCAGACTCGATTATTTACAGACCTCCGCCATATATTATTATTATTATTATTATTATTATTATAGCATTTGTATAGCGCAAATATCCAGCTCAGCTGCTGATAGGCATTTGACTTTCCCTCGATCATTGGATGCCAAGCTCAAACAGCACATCGTAGTTTCAATCAAAACTCCCTGGGGAACATACAACTCTTGCAGCCACTAGGCGCACCAAGTTAATGTGGCTTTCCAATCCTTACGAGGAATCCATTCACAGCTGGGTGGACTGGGACTCATAATCACACACTTTTTTGTCCAAGTTTACTGCACGTTGCTGTACCCGCAACTAGGTGTTTGCACGTATTCATGTGGCCACCATCTGGTCATATACCAACGGATTCGCGGGTTCTATTAAGTGCACAGGGTTGTGTACTGTACACTAGGGGTTGTGACAACACGGAAAGCGTCTGCACAGCAAAGCTGGAATATTACTGGGTGCGGCGTAAAACTAACTTCACTCACACACTTAAACATTTCCCACTATGTTGATTGGATGGATGGAATACCGATTGATGGAATTGCTATAGATGAGGCATCTATAGAATTGTGCTTGGCATTTGGCATAAAATGAATCTATCTATGCTACACATATTTCGTTACAACAACGGGCACTATAGTCTGAAAACACTGACAGTATTTCCCACGAAATTATCAAGTCCCATTGTTCCCACTAGTCATCACCAAAGAATAACACTATAATAGAATGTTTGAAACAGGACAGATACCCCATCTGTTTATTCTAGATAACACAACAGCAGATTGGTTGAAACAGTGAAGGTAACTTGAGATAACACTACCGCTGAATGGTTGAATCATTGTAAGCAACATCTAGAAAACACCACCGTAGGATGGTTGAAACACTGTAATTACAAATTGGACGGAAGCATTGATGGAATGACAGACCACTTCCGGGCAGTAGGTGCTCGGTTTGTAATATACGAATCATGGTCCCGATCCACAAAGCTTTCGTAACGTTACGACCTGTCGTAAAAACTACGAATGTCGTTGGCTAACACCGAACATCCACGACATTCGTTGTATTTACGACAGGTCGTAATGTTACGAACACTTTGTGGATCGGGACTCATGGTTTCGGTTCTATTGGTGTGTTAGCCAGTGGCCAACGTTGACAGAACGCATGCAGCTGTTTCACATTTTATGAATGTAAAGGGCAAACCCTCGCCTCTTTTTGTACTTGAATGGTCAAAACAGAATTCACATACCACTATATAATTAGGCACGTAATCAAAAGTCTCAGATACATTTCCGTGTGGTCATGAAGACTTTCATTTTATTTATATATTTCATGATGGTATTCTGAAACAGTATGCCCCCGCCCCCATGCTGGATGCCGTGATCTGATCTGCTCCTCCGCCACCGACGTCCACTGCACCAGCTGTTATCCGAGCTTCTATCTCACAGGAAACACCTGTTCAGGTGAGATCATCCTCACATCGAATGATAGTTGTTTCATGAAGCATTAGGGATGTGTACATCAGAATGTTACTGGACCAGGTGCAAAAGGTCTTTACGTGTGACGAGTTTCCCCCTCTTTCTCTCCATATATCAATACACTCACACACACATACTCACTCACTCTCTCTCTCTCTCTCTCTCTCTCTCTCACACACACACACACACACACGCACACTCACTTATAAACCCATACAGCGTCCAGCAACGTCCAGCAACCCATACAACGTCTAGCAACACCTTTGTGTCTTTCATGTGTCCAACATACTGTTGTAACGAAGTAATTGTTTGTTCCCTGTGTAAATATTTTTGTATTCCCCGTTTTTTTTGTGTTGTGTCGAAAATGGGATTACTCGAATAGTTTACATAGATTCCTTCCACTTCGACACAAGGTTGTTTGACTGTAACGTCAGTGAAAAGATTACCCAGTATTGACTGATTCCATTTGGTGTAAAGGGTAACATAGCGGTGAAAGACATGTTCACGGGCCAATGAAAGTCAGTGATGACACCAGGTGTTCACGAAAAGTGTAAGCATGTCATGCCCTACCGGCATTTGTAATTCGCCCAATTTGCTTCAAATAGGGGAGTATTTAGCCGACCCGAGATGACGCGGGTTAGAATTGGTCTTAAGCAACCAATGCTTGACGTTTGGGGGATTAACGGGATCGGGTGGTCAGTCTCGCTGTCTTGGTTGACACATGCCATCGTATCCCAATTACGTAGGTCGATGCTCATGCTGTTGATCACTGGATTGTCTGGTCCAGACTCGATTATTTACAGTCCGCCGCCAGATGCCAAGTGTGGCGTTAAACAACAAACCAACCAATGATTTAGCCTGAAGCCTCAAAGTAGTACTTCTGCGGGTTGTAATCAAACCAGAGAAAGTGATCGACGGACCGAAAAATCCAGTCGGATAATTTTGTTGATGCTATGTGGAACAACAGACATTCCGACGGTTAAAAGTAAAGCTGTTTTGGAAATAGGTTTGGTTTGCAACATACCAGGGATCAGTATGAAGAAATCCATCAGAATTATCTAAACAAAATACAGCATTTCAAATAATCGTGATTAGTAAATCGTTTAGTACAATTGATACTGATTATATATACCTTATATAACAGTTGGTTATTCCAGTATTCCCTCCTGGTGGTTCTACCAGTATCATGTCATAGTAACAACACATGTACATTGCATCATTTCTTTGACATCTTTACGTCCATCTTCCAGAATGCCCTCAAACAGGACCTGACTGCCAACAAGTCGAGTGTACAGGTCCTCGACAGGTGACCTGCACGAAATGCAAAGACGGGTTGTTCTTCTTTAACAACCAATGCACAGGTCAGATGCATGTTTTCTTGCGTTCCATTCATACCATGACATAAATACCATATACCTACACGTAGATAGTAGATAGGGACAGTGGGAATCTCGTTAATCCGTCATTAATTAATGAAGAGTCATTTGGCTACCTTGAGAGAACCATATGATAGTTACTCCCCCCGTTTAACAGCGCTTGAGTACTTCTTTTAATTATTGCAAATTTATATTCTTCACTCACCACCTTGTAGATTGAGTTTACAAAGTGGGCAATAAAGATAAGTGATTCCGGATCAAAGCAATTTGAAAATGGATTAAGGGTCGGGTTGTTGTTTTTGTTCTGGAGTTGAGATAGAATATAGATACAGACCGTCAGTGCAAAAGAATACCCAGTCTTGACTCACCTCAGAAACAATTTCCGTTTACTGTAAATGGGAAAATAGCCGCGAAAGGAATATGAATGTATCGCTAAAAATCAAATCCTTTTACAGTATCTCCTTGCAGGTACTCACCCAAACCGTTTTTGAATATACTATACATTTTCGGAAATAGATATCAGATGATGAAAATAATCTGATTGATGAATATAATGCTGCAACTTTTACGAGCGCTTCCGACGCCCCTGAGCAGCATGCCACGACCAGTTCAGTTCTGATATATTTGGATGTTTACCATGACATTATCTGATATCTGTCAGCCTGTCCGTCCACGATCCTGATCCCTGATTGTGTAGACGTTGCCAGAGACGGCTGCTTCAAACACTGGTGCAGGAAGTGTGCTCCTGGCTTCTTCATCAGCGGAACAGTCTGTGATGGTAAACTGTTTACTTTCTCAATTCTCGAGGGATGATCCTGGTAAGTGCGCCAAAGGCCGAAAGCATTAAGCGTTATATAGAATTTATGTATGTTGTAAGGGACAAATGACATTGATGAACTGGAAGTGATGTCCTCATTAAAGTCCAGTAAAGAGCAAGACCTGACAGCCTATTCAATTCTTCGTTCTAGTAAGTCTTTACAAAAATATACTAAGCAGCAAAAAAAACGTCAGTACGAATTCAAAATTAGATAGGCACTGTAATCAAATCATTACAGAAATGGACATAAAAGGCGGATCAAAACATTTTTTGTGTACAATATCTTGATACATCAATGAACAACTCAAAACAATTTCAAGACATTACGTGAACGTTTGCAGTCCATTCAGACTCTTGACTTCAGTATCTAGTGTGACCACCACGAGTGGCAATAACTGCAGCACAGCGTCTATGCATGGAGTGCACCGATCGATTGATGAAGGCCTTTGGCACCTGGAACCACATTCTGAGAAAGGTCTGGCGCAATAAATAGGCTGTGTTCGGCCTTGGTATGACATTATTCAGTCTCCTCTGAATTTCACCCAAAGATGTGCAATTGGGTTTAAATCAGGACTAAGGGCTGGTCACTGCATAATGTTGACACCGTTGTGCTGTAGGAAGTCCTGTGTAGCTCTGGCAGTATGGGCCCGGGCGTTATCATGCTGGAAAATGTTGTTCCGGTGACGTGCAAAATGTGGTATGACGTGGGGTCTGAGAGCTTGGTCGATGTAGCGCACCGCTGTGATGCCGCCTCCTCTCCCTGGACCAAGGTTCTGGAACACCACAGGACCCACTCTCTGGTTCAGGCCTATTCCACCTCATACCATGATGCTTGCACCTCCCCATGAGTCTCTTTCCATAACACATTGGTCTGAGTAACGCTGGCCACGTCGTCGCCATATTCTTGTTCAGCCATCTGCAGTTGATACGCAGAACCGACTCTCATCTGTGAACAGAACAGTTCTCCATTGCCTGTATCGCCAGTTTTGGTGTTGTAGGGCAAACTGTAGACGTTCACGCTGATGACGAGGGGTGACGATAGGTCCACGGCAAGGTCTACGCAAGTGGAGGTTTCCGCTGTTAAGACGTCGGCGTACTGTATCAGTACTGATTGGTCTTCCGTGTGTTCCCACTGTCTGGCGTGCTGTTTCGGATGCCTGTATGAAGGGATTCTGTACATGCTGTTGCACAACATGGCGGTCTTGTCGTCTTGTGGTCACCCTTGGTCTGCCATTACGGGGGCGATCATTTGTGGTGTTGGTGGCCTTGAAACGTTGCTGCAGCCTGTAGATGGTCCGAACGTTGACCTGGAAGTGATTGGCAACGGCTTGTGCAGTGTGGTCAGCTTCTATTCTTCCTAGCGCCTGGCTCCTCTGAGCCGTCGTGAGTCGCGCCATCCTGCTGATGTTTTCATGTGAATGTTTCAGAAAGGTTTGGGGGTGTATTTTATAGGGCTGGTCCTTGTGAACAGCATATGCAGCTTGAGTTGCATGAAAAACATGGAGAACATCGTACCATCTCCGAGATCATGTTGCGTTTTTGAGACCATTTCCTGGGTTCCATTCTGAGTTTGGGAAGGAATGTCTTTGCTCAGGTAAAGTTGGAGATGTTGTGAAAAATATACAATCAAAACATTAAATGAGTTTACAGTTATCCGTTTCTGCGAAGGAAAATTCCAAACTGACGTTTCTTTGCTGCTTAGTATATACAGAATTTGGTTAAAAGCACCGAATCAAACAGGAGTTCACCAGAAATACATGTACTTTCTTCTTTGTCAGTCTGTCCCCTCCCTGATGCGGGATGTCAAGTAGCAGAGTGTAACTCCTCCTCATCATATTCGAATTGTGTACGCTGTTTCCATGGTTACCATCTACAAGGAGGATTATGTCGTATGTATAACTCAAAGCTTCTTCCGTTTTTCTGTTATTCTTGCCAGGGTCGGTGGGCTGCCTACTGGTAAAAGCGTTCGCTCGTCACGCCGAAGACCCGGGTTCGATTCACTACATGATTATAATAATGTGTGAAGCCCATTTCTTGTTGAATATTGTCGAAAGCAGGGAAAAACCTTACTCACTTTCATTACCGTAACTTTAAAAGCGTATTACTCCAAAGAAAAACAATATTTGAATTATACTTGATGTTTGCTGATACCTCTCTGTAAATGCCTGTTGACAGATCATGACTCTGGACAAGGATCAACCCCCAGTCAGTGTGCGGATCATCCCAAGGCCGACTGTGCCTCTCTACAGGCATCGCTCAACGTCTGCTCAGAACCGAGTACGGCCTGTCACTACTGCCCCCGGTACTGCAACATGTGTGACACGTGCACCCAAGGCATGCCTATCATTGGCTAATGACGTCTGAACCAGGATATAACGTTTACCTAATATTACAAATTGAATGAATACTTGTTACAGAAATTAATAAAGCCAAAGTAAATACCCATGTACTCTTCACTTGTTTATCGTTTCGTCTTAGATATCCAGTGTGGGTTGTGAGGTTGTTGTGCGTGTGCGTGTGCGTGTGCGTGTGTGTGCTTGTGTGTTTATATCTTCAAGAACTGTCGGGGAAATGGCCCTTTCCACACAGAGGATCATTGTCTGACAACATGCAGAGTACATATGCAATTATGACAATAGCACAAGCAGCTGTTAATGACCCACTACCAAATGCTGAAGATAACACGTGTTTTGAATGGGTAGGCGTATTCTAAAACAACAAGGGAACACATACTACATGTCAAAATATGGAATTGTATCTTCATGTTAAATCTTCTGCTGTAACGGGTAAATTCTACAAACATTGACAACAGTTTCTACTGTCACTTACCTGAATTACACATCAATGCCAGAACGTCATTTTTAGGGTCTTTGGAGGAAAAACGTTGAACAATTTGTTTCAAAAACCAGAAACAGCAAATAAAGTTCAGAACACAACACTTTGGCAGTATATTAGTTCCATATGAACAGCTCAGATGGTTTGCAAGAGTATACTGACGTCCAGGAGAACGTTTAGACGCTTAGATTACTCAACGTCGTCAGATTTGGGATGGAAGTGTAATAGTATGGATGACATCACGACCTCATCACTGAGAAGGGCATCTCTTTGTACAAACACGACCATGTGCGAAATATGCATCATGTCAGAAAGCGCACATAAAATCCCCAAATGTTTTTCATAGTCGACATTCAGGTCGAGTAGGTCGAGTAGCGCAAGGTCTGCACTGTGACCACACAATAAGAAACCTAAACATTTATGAGTTGTAATAAGTCACCACAATCGTCACAGGATATATGGAGTGTGGTATAAGCGTCGTGCTGCAGGATCAAGTCTTGACGGGCGTACCCCTTTAACATATTTGTGCCCATAGTGGGGCGTGGTGGTCGAGCTGTCTAAGGCGCCAGGCTAGTGATCCAGTGAGCTTGAGGTGCCGGGATCGAGTCCATCTGTGACCAAGTGTAAAAACCATGGAGTCAACTTTGCGTGCAGACTCTTTCAGTGTTGTCACAACCCCTAGTGTACAGTACACAACCCTGTGCACTTAAAAGAACCCACGTATCCGTTGGTATATGACCTGATGGTGGCCACATGAATACGTGCAAACACCTGGTTGTGGGTACAGCAACGTGCACTAAACTTGGACAAAGTACTGTGACTATGTGTCCCAGTCCACCCAGCTGTGAATGGGTACCACGTAAGAATGGGAAAAGCCACATGAACTCGGTGCGCCTAGTGGCTGCAAGAATCGTATGTTCCCCAGGGAGTTGATAATACAATGTGCCATTGAGACTGACATCCAATGATCGAGGGAAAAATAAAGCGTCTTTGAGCAGGTGGTCTCGATATTGGCCCTACACAAATAAATATAAATATAATATAGTATACATATTACAACTCTGTCGACTGTGAAGCGGATGAGTTCATGCCGAGGGCCGGGGATTCCCAGTAGGTCTTGAATGCGGGTTTCGTGTTGTATGCAGCTCAATGCTTTTGTGTTTCAATGGGCACTATTTCAATCTTGCTCATGTCGTACAAACGGGTTTCGTTTGGCTGTGGGATCATCCGGATCTATTCAAAGGTTAACAGGTATGAAACGTACACTGTAACATTGAAATACGTGTTGTATGCAAGGAAAATGAAGACACACCTTTGCCAATGTAGGTTATTACAAATACGATAAAAAATACGAAAAGTTATTAACCAAGATAGAGTCAACATTAATGCTTGTCACATCTACTTACTCAGGGCGAAGATGATAATAATTACAATGATTCACGTACACGTTATGGAGACATTACTAATAATATCATATAACATTTATTATTTATAGTGGCATTAAATAGTTCTATAATAACAATGATGTATATCTACTAAAACATCCAGGTTAGAACTGGTCTTCAGGCGACTAACGGGATCGGGTGGCCAGGCTCGCTGACTTGGTTGACACATGTCATCGTATCCCAGTTACTTAGATCGATGATCATGCTGTTAATCACTGGATTGTCTGGTCCAGACTCGATTATTTACAGACCGCTGCCATATAGCTGCAATATTACTGAGTGCGGCGTTAAACAACAAACCAACATATCCAAACAAAGCGAGAAAACTATGACTAAAATACTGAAGGATCTCGTCCAAACCCTACATCAAAAGAATAACGATGAAGAAATCGGTATATAGTTGAATACAACCAAAGTTTATTTGACATGCATATTAATTTATATTCATCGCCTTGTTTATATCTTTGTACGATGGATCTGCCTTCAACGACATAAATAGTAACGTTAGGTTAGTATAGTTCCCGAGTAAAATAAATACATAACTGCATTAATTATTATAATCTCATACTTGCAAATACAAACAGACACTGCAGAGGTAGACTAAAATCTAGTCTCTGAAATGAAAATATTTTACATAATAAACGGTTCCTAAATTAGATTAATAAAAATTAATAAATTTGAGCCCAGAGACTTTCTTCTTGTTCAGCGACTAAACACATCCGCGGCGCTATAACGGCCGGGACTTTCACAACACAAGTAAAGATTCTTATCACCATCACTGACATGCCACTGAAAGATTGTGTGACAGGATTAGTTTATTGCTTTAATCACCCCTCCCCAATGACACACCCTGCAATGACTTGGGCGGGGGGAGGGGGGGGGAGACACAGGGGGTCTTGGGAAGTGACACTGTTGACAGCAAGCGATTTAGTTTGTCATACAAACCTTGAAACAAATATATCCATGAAAGCCCATGCAAGTCTAGAATGTGTGGCCAGTCTAGATTACCACAGTTTCAGTTTCTGAAAATGAATAAAATCTCTGGGTTCCTTTTCATGATACCTTATGATAATAATTTAGGAACCGTTTTTGTTGTAAAATATGTCCATTTCAGAGGCTAGATGCTAGTATACCAGCGTTTAACTGATAATTAGAGGCTCTGTGAATTCAGCAGATTTGTACAGACCTTGAAAGTGTGGCAATATAGATTTGCCACATAATCTAGACTCGCATGGGCTGTGCTGGGTATATTTGTTTAAGGGTCTGTATAACCGATTGACCGCTTAGATGTAAAGACGTTTAAGTCCGTTTATTCATCACCAACAAGCGTTTCAACTCTGTGTATGAGATAAAATTGTGAAAGAAAGAATGAGAGTATGTGACGGTCTTTTTACTTCGTTTTGAAAAGCGTACCACGGCGTGGCATCTATATCCGGGAGAATATCTCAAGTGATGAAGGTGATGCAGAGAGAAAGTGATGTACCTTTTTCTTTCTCTTCTCAGTAAAAGGTAGTATGTCAAATGCCAAACCAGGCATTTTCGAATTTTAAACCATTTCCCTTTGTAACGAAATGCCCAACACCCAGTCTTGAAGTGATGACACTACAACATTTGCTTCTTACCCCACCCAGCCCAACCCGCCCCAAAATCATTAAAAAAAAAAATACAAAACAAAGAAAAACATATCCAAGAGGGAGAGTGTTCGAACTTTGATCATAGAACCACAAACTGAATGATGCGTGTTGAAAATATCCTTAAATGTCCAGCTTCATATATCAATGGTACCTTTTCATAACAGTCATTAATCTACAAGCTTGAAGTGTAAGTCACTTGACCGTATGCCTTCCGCTGTTTTACCTCGTTCTCGCTCAACTCTCGTTGATTTACCTCGTTCTCGCTCAACTCTCGCTTCTTTACCTCGTTTTCGCCCTCGTTAACCTCGTTGTTGTCCAACTCCTGATCCTGAACTTCTTTTTCGTGCACCTCCGGGACAACAAGTTCCTCCGTTGTCGACGCACCCAGTGCAACAGTGTCCACGATATGCGCGTTGTCATGGAAATTGTTTAGAAAATCATACTTCATAGGAATGATGTTTCTTGTGAAGAGCGTCTCGGCAAGAAAAGACACTGTGATTATTGTAACGAATGCGAGGAGCATTATGAATGTCCTGAAAGGGAACAGCTGTCCGTCCTTCTCAGAGTGGAATGGATAGCTGATCAGCGCAGGGAGGCCAATGAGAGGCTCACCACTGATCATACGCAATATGACGGACAGGAAGAAGCCACATATACTACCATAGGCGTTGGAAACTTTGACAAAGAGGACGCAGGTGAGTTGAGGGAAGAGGATGACGTACATGAGGTCGCCGGACATGACGTACAGGCCGTAAACGGTGTTGGAGGTGATAGCGATGGCGGCTCCAACGGATCCAACTACCAAGACAGTGATTCTTACAACCCAGATCAGCTCGCGGTCAGACACCTACATGAAGAAAAAGGTTGAGAGGCTAAGACAGACATACATATATACACATACAGTCACGCACACACATGCACGCACCTCCATTCTTTTTATGCACACATACGCTAACATAACCACATCTTTGACATTGGCAGCGTGTTGATGTCTGAAAACTAGTTGTGTTCCAATTAACTGAAATAATCGAAGACTGGTCGCAGTGACCAAACGACCAAGCAACCGATCACATTTTCTCATAATCGAACAGAAACAATTTTGGAAATACTGGTTTAGAGCTTGAAACACTTGACGATGGAGCATGACTTAGAAGTTGCCAGGGCCTGGATAATTCTTAGAAATCTCACTTCACTTACTTGAAGACTCATGTTCATGATACGTTAGTCATAACTTTAATGGAGCAAGTTGCATAATTTTACATTGGATGTGAAATTTGCCAATTTCTAAATGAAACTAAAAACAACAGAAAACCACATGTTTTTTCTCTATACATATCTGCATTAACAACCTGAACAGGAAAATCTGAAAAATGACGCTTTTCTTCAATGCTTGCTCGTTGATAATTAGCCAATCATCAATTGTGAGATTTCAACCAGTTCCCAACACTACTATCTATCTATGGAAAAACGTATATAGCGCTATATCCAGAAATATACTGCTCTGCAGCGCTTGAGACTCTGATGGAAAGTTAGTTGTTGTATGCTTCACAGAAGTAATGAGTCTTTAGCTGTGATTTGAATGAGTCCAGGTCGTGGTTAGATTTAAACAGAAACAAGTCATATATGATTGACAGGAAGAATCTACTGCTTCCCTGTACAAGGACATATTAGTCTGATGTCGACGTAACGAAAGGGCCCTAAAGGATGACTTACAGGCAAACATACATTACTACGGTTGAGTAGAACAGATTCACCATAAAACAAACCTGAGAGTTACGGTACACGAGAACAGATTCACCATAAAACAAACCTGAGTGTTACGGTACAGAAGGTCAGATTCACCATCAAACAAACCTGAGTGTTACGGTACACGAGAACAGATTCACCATCAAACAAACCTGTGAGTTACGGTACACGAGAACAGATTCACCATAAAACAAACCTGAGTGTTACTGTACAGAAGGTAAGATTCACCATAAAACAAACCTGAGTGTTACTGTACAGTAGGACAAATTGATCATACCAAAGTGAGAGATACAGTTGGCATCTACTGTATTGCAGAGCTATAGAGAATCCATATACAGTAGACATCTGGTGTACTCCAGTTACAGAGATGCCATATACACAAGGCATCTAGTGTACTCCAGAGTTACAGAGAAGCCATATACAGTAGGCATCTGGTGTACTCCAGAGTTACAGAGATGCCATATACACTAGGCATCTAGTGTACTCCAGAGTTACAGAGAAGCCATATACAGTAGGCATCTAGTGTACTCCAGAGTTACAGAGATGCCATATACAGAGAGGCATCTAGTGTACTCCAGAGTTACAGAGATGCCATATACACTAGGCATCTGGTGTACTCCAGAGTTTCAGAGATGCCATATACAGTAGGCATCTGGTGTACTCCAGAGTTACAGAGATGCCATATACACTAGGCATCTAGTGTACTCCAGAGTTACAGAGATGCCATATACAGTAGGCATCTGGTGTACTCCAGAGTTACAGAGATGCCATATACACTAGGCATCTGGTGTACTCCAGAGTTACAGAGATGCCATATACAGTAGGCATCTGGTGTACTCCAGAGTTACAGAGATGCCATATACAGTAGGCATCTAGTGTACTCCAGAGTTACAGAGATGCCATATACAGTAGACATCTGGTGTACTCCAGAGTTACAGAGAAGCCATATACAGTAGGCATCTGGTGTACTCCAGAGTTAGAGAGAAGCCATATACAGTAGACATCCTGTGTACTCCAGAGTTACAGGAAGTCATATACAGTAGGTATCTGGTGTACTCCAGGGCTACAGAGAAGCCATATACACAAGTACAGAGAAGCCATATACACTAGTACAGAGAAGCCATATACACTAGACATCGTGTGTGCTGCAGGAGTAAGCTAAGGAAAGCTACGGTAAGTAGAACGACACAGAGCCAAGAACAACTGGTTTGCTCCACGATTCACGCCAGACTTACCTTGGTTCTGAAAACACCTCGGTACCAGTTATTGGCAAAGATGGAGGCAGTGGAGAGAGTGGTGGAGTCAGCAGACGACATGGCGGCAGCCGAAATGGCAGCGAGACCGATGACGGACACTGGGAGTGGACACATGTACTCCAACACCAATGGCAGAATGAATGGCAGCTGATCCTGGGCCAGAGGAACCTCATTTGGGTACGAGGTTTGATTCCAGTCTGCAGAATGATACGGCAATGCATCAAATGATATCTATCTAATCAGTCATGCCTTCCGACTATATAGTTTGTAAGGCGTTGACACCGATCCTTCAGTAGTCTCAATGAACTCTGCAAAGTTGACTCTCTATTCGGGTTGGATTCTCATATGAGTGAGTGAGTATGGTTTTACGCCGCTTTTAGCAATATTGCATCAGAAATGTGCTCCACACATTGTACCCATCTGGGGAATCGAACACGGTCTCCGGCGTGACGAGCCAACGCGTTAACCTCTAGGCTACCCCACTGTCCGATTCTCATATGATGACATACTCTGATTGAGCAGAAATTGTGAATACGCTACTGCGCAGTTCTTGTAGGTCTAATATAAATAGCAGGAAAAGACATTGACCCGACACTGCTTCCAATATTACCTGCTGATGCGGTGGCGGTGGAGTAGCCTTGTGGTTAAGGCGTTCGCTAGTCGAAGACCCGGGTTCGATTCCTCACATGGTTACAATGTGTCAAGCCCATTTCTGGTGTCCCCCCGCCGTGATATTGCTGGAATATTGCTAAAAGCGGCGTAAATCTAAACTCACTCACTCACTTACCTGCTGAGGCTCCTATTACTCCCATAACGGCCGGAGGCACCGCGAACAAGAGACACAGCACAGAAGACAACATTAGAGATATACGGGCGCTTCTCGGAGTCTTACATGCGAGCACTCGTTGATAGAATGGCTGCAGAAAAACCAAGATCATTATAAACTTGCATTGCATCAGGCTTTTGCATACAGGTGTTCAAACAGATATAGATAAGAGTTGCCATTTTTGTAGAGGACTTTTTCTAGTGTGTTTTCTCTGCATGGTACTGTTTGTTTGGCGTGGTACTTTTTGTTCGACTCTGATATCCTTCGTCTTTTTGTGATATGGAAGTGATGCTTTGTGCTATGCTGAAATGAACACTTTTAACATTGCAATAGTCAGATACAGTTTTCCCAGAAATTATTGAGAAAATCTTTGTTTCCTAATACTGATAACATAATTTTATAATAGGTGTTACATTATGTAGTAAGGTACTCAATGGGAGGCAACTCTTGTAGGCTTAAGAATGAACCTTACTAAATCAAGAGTTATCTCCCCTGGTGTAGCAGACGGGTTCCTTTGTTGACATGGCAGATTTGACAGCAGAAGATAAAAGAAAGCTGGTTCTAGATGATTTTGAGCACAAGACGGACAGGTAGGCCAAGGAAGTTCAGTACTATGGATCGCCGGCGACTCGGTCAGATTGTGAGTAGGGAAAAATTGAAAAGCGTTGAGAATATCAGAAATGATATGATTAATAGAGTAAGTTCCCAGGTATGTAATGAAACCCTTTGAAAAGAATTACAAAGACTTAACAGGGTGAAAAAGCGCGGAATTCGTGAGTAGGGCTCACAAAAATCAAGATTGGGATAATGTTTTCTTTTCTGATGAAAAAAACTTTCTGTCTGGCTTTTTCCGAACTGTGTGAAAATGTGGACAAAAGAAACCGTGAAACCTAACTACCAACGCCCAAAACATAGCCCGAAATTTCACATGTTGGGTGGGATATCATCACGTGGAGTCACGCCGTTGTGTATTCGCACTGGAAATTTGAAAAAAGGAATGATATGTTGACATCTTAAATGGTCAGCTCCTTCCAACGGCCCGAACACTGTATGAAGATTATTGGATTTTCCAGCATGATAACGACCCAAAACACACTGCGGGCTACACAAAACTGTGGTTGCCGGAAGATCTGATCTGAGAATGTGGGAGGCTAATGAAGGACAGAATAAACCAAAAAGGACTTAGAAATATTGAGGATATGAAGGAAGAAGTGGTCCAATATTGGGATACGCTGTAACACGATTTCCTACAAACTTTGATCGGTAGTGTACCTAGGCGCATTCAGTCGTGTATTGCAGGGCAAGGAGGTCTCACAAAGTACTGAAAAGACACTTAGACTGTAAGAGAATCATATCTCAACATATTCATTTAAGTAAAACTTTCATAGTCTATATACACGTATTAGATATTTGCTGAAACAACTTTCTCAAAATTTCTGGAAATGCTATATATGCCCACTTCTACGTACTAATTTCGTATGGAGGCTGAATATTTCCTTAACTAAAGCTGCTCAACCAGATTTGAAAGATTAATGAACTTAATATTTCAAAGCATTTTGCAGTAATTTATTTTTGTGAGAATTTCCTTTATTCTAACAGTACACAGCACGGTATTATCTTTTCAGGTATTATTCTATGGATATATTAAAACGAATTTGGTCCAATTGTTAAGGTGGAAAAATCCAAATGCTATAGTGGTAAGGCATAATCTCTGTGATTGAAAGGCGGTCCATGTAGTGCAAAGGTCTAATCTCTGTGATTGGAAAGTGGTCCAAAGATTGAAGTGGGAAGGTCCAGGGTTTATGATGGGAAGGTTCGGGGTTTATGATGGTAAGGTCCAGGGTTTAGGATGGTAAGGTCCAGGATTTTATGATGGAAAGGTCCAGGGTTGTATGATGGAAAGGTATAAGCATGGTAGTCAGTGTTCTGTGGTGGGATGGTAATCATGTCTTGTTGTGGGCTGATCCACGTGTCGTATGTTCCGACTATTCCAGGCAGCTGGGGAGGGGGGTGGGGGTGGAATTCATGCTTGAAAACCTTCAGGTTAAAATGAGTGAGTGAGTATAGTTTTACGCCGCACTCAGCAATATTCCAGCTATATGGTGGCGGTATGTAAATAATCGAGTCCGGACCAGACAATCCAGTGATCAACAGAATGAGCATCGATCTGCGCAATAGGGAACCGATGTCATGTGTCAACCAAGCCAGCGAGCCTGACCACCCGCTCCCGTTAGTCGCCTCTTACGACAAGCATGTGTTACTGAAGGTTCATTCTAACCCGGACCTTCACGGGTTTCAGGTTAAAGTGTCGTAAAGGACAGGTTAGATAATGTACGTAAAGATCTATTCAGACATCGACCATCTGATAAGCGCATCTTAATCAGTTGTACGCGTTAGTGAACAACATGGTGCCGAGGCAGCTACAAATTGGTTTTGTCTGTCCAAAAATCAAACTCTCCATGAACCGTACTCTCTGTAATCCGTCTCTTCAACACAAAGACTTAATGTATTAATAATATACTTAAACCATCTCTCTCTAGATCTACAATGGACTATCTATTACTTTACCTGCCACGGTATCCCTCCAAATATAAGTAAACCGTAGATGTCTAGGAATGACCCGATCTCGTTAGTCGGTAGAGTCCCTGACCACAGCGTTTTCATCTTCTCCTTGTCAAGGGATGGGTGATGGAGGGCGAACGGGAAGGAAACAATCTAAGATTCAAACCAGAAAATCTTAGAAAAGACATTATGAAGTGTGGCCGTCAGTTATAAAAGAAAGGTTACACAAATCGACACTCTACGACAGAACAACGGAGCTGCATTGAAATATGTTTTGAAAAAATTCAAAGTAATTTCAGTCATGTGTTTATTTTTCCGAAATATTGAGCTTACACACTATTACTACGAAAGCCTAATGCTGCCACCTTTGAACCTAAAAAATATTTCCTCAGCGAATGTTTCGTTGCTTCGATTATATTCTCATTTCAAATATTTTCAGGAAATTTCGATTAATTTCTCGTTTTTATAAATATTTTCTTGTCACTTCATGTATTATTTTTTTTTTTAAACTTGAAAGAAAAATAACCAACGAGAAAATAATTGAAATATACTCCCAAGCATCGACAAAATAAATAAGAAATATTTTATGCTACAAAAGTGGCATCATTAGGCTTTCGTACATTACATATCTGTGTTTGCAAAAGATAGACCGACGTCACATGGGGCTATCCTCTCTCATGAAACTGATATGTCTCAATACAACTTAAATTAACTGCATTAACTAAATATGCAGCCTTCATAAATTCAAATATCGACATGTTTTATAAGTACTGGTCACGTTGCCATTTACTTTTTGTTAGTTATTATGAATTGTAATGTGTATGCGCTACTGTAAAAATGCAACAATAATAATAATAAAAAATACAACTGAAATACTGCGGACTGAGCACCAACTGACTCACAACGCGTAACAAATGAGTTGTTCAATGTTATTGGGTAGACTTATGTAAATCAATACAATACACAATGCAAGTACGTCGTGACTTTCGATGATATCAGATATCCAAATCAATATGATGTGATATATGGATGCCGGGGGCAAAACCAGATGTGTTAGCACAGTATTAAGGATGGTCTTTTACTTAAATTATATTATGCGTTTCACATTTGCATATCATGTTTTGCATTTCATATCAAACAGGCAGTTTTTAGATGTGCCTGTGCACTTGCATTTCAGGTTGACATCCCACTTAATTGCAATTTAATTAACAATTTTAATTGCCTCTGGTATAAGAGGTAGTGTTACTTTAATGGACACCTTAAATAGTACTGGTATGGCAGCGTAAAATTTGCAGTAGATGACTTTCGATGTATGTGTGCGTAGAATACGTGGGCGAGAGCGGGGTGCAAATTTCAAAAGATAACTGACAATTCATGTATGACTGACGGTCAATTGAGTAGTGATCAAGGTCAATTGAGTAGTGATCAAGGTCAATTGAGTAGGCCGTCGTAATCTGACCCGAGGTCGTCACGGATTTCATGTTTCATACCATTTATCTCAAATGTAGGACGTTGGTCACCTATGACTGACTTACCAGCCCAATAGCAATAAAAAATAGCTGAACGAGGTCAGTGTAGGCCACAGACCAGAGTCCACCAAGCAAGGTATAGAAGACAGCAATGGCGGCCGATACGATGATGGACGTGGTATTGTCTACGTCGAGGATAATGGCGACGGTCGATCCTTTAATGTGTCAACCAAGACTAATATGTGAGACTTGTAAGCCCTCGGCAGCACTTATCTTCTGATAGATATATTTGAACATCAATGCCTCAAAAATCGAGTAAAAATTCAGTTTTGTTGGAGTCGACTTCCAAAATTGCAAAATTCTCACTTACTGTTTATCTGATTTTGGTATGTTATAATGTAATCCTCCTTTTTAAATAGAATAAAGCAGCTGTAGTTCAAAATACCTTACATTGGCATGTAAGCAATAAGCTGGACCATGCCAACTTTTTAATGGTGTTATTAGAAAGACGAGGGCTCGAAGTCAACTTTACAGTGGCATGTAAGCAATACAGCCAGGACGATGCCAGCCTTTTATTGGTGTTATTAGAAGCACGAGGACCCGAAGTCAAGTAAGCTACCGAGCTTGAAAAATAAATGTCAGGAATGATATTGCTGGAATACTGCTAAAAGCGGCCTTAAACCTCACATATAAACGTCAGAAACTGCCTGCGCGAAATCCAACATGCCTGAGAAATGTATCGCTTAACCGCCTCATGTAACCAGTAAATGTTTCTATGGGACCAATTCAACCCGAGCTGTAGTGAAATAATGGGGAATGGTTTTACCGAGTGCTGACAAGATGGCAGCTGTCCAGAAGATGTCTCCTACAAACTCTGGCACACACATGAGCGCACCTACTCTCGCACCATACTTCTTCTGGAACGGGTCGTACATTGTTACGTAGTTGGCCCTACGCATCTTTGGACCGTAGAACCAGCCGCCTGAATAGAAAAGAACGCTGAATTTATACAGTTGAATTTTGGTAGCATTGAGCAACCACGCTTATGTTGTTACTTACTGTTTAACCACGCATTCAGCAAAATTTCAACATGGCAGAAATAATCAAGGATGTACCAAGTATGAAATGCGTAACTCTTACATAAGTATAACCCACTCTTCGTATGAGGAATGCGTAACTCTTACACAAAGAATACCTCATTCTTGCCATAAGGAATGCGTAACTCGTACATAAGGAATACCCCACTCTTGATATGAGGAATACACAGTTGGCTCTACGGCGCTGTGAAAGGTCTGTAGGAGATAGGCTCTCTGAAGAGGTTAGTTTACAGAGAAGAGTGGAAGATGAAGAGAGGTAATGAGTTTCACAGAATGGAAGAACCACAGACTGGGAGAAGTGGCAGAAAGATCTTTCATCCAACGTTGTCTTGGTGTGTAATGAGTTCCACAGAATGGGAGAACCACAGACTGGGAGAAGTGGCAGAAAGATGTTTCATCCAACGTTGTCTTGGTGTGTAATGAGTTCCACAGAATGGGAGAACCACAGACTGGGAGAAGTGGCAGAAAGATCTTTCATCCAACGTTGTCTTGGTGTGTAATGAGTTCCACAGAATGGGAGAACCACAGACTGGGAGAAGTGACAGAAAGATCTTTCATCCAATATTGTCTCGGTGTGTAATGAGTTCTGCAGAATGGGAGAACCACAGACTGCGAGAAGTGGCAGAAAGATCTTTCATTCAATGTTGTCTTCGTGTATGGCAGAGTCAAGTACATTTCATCGACAGAGCGCAGGTTGCGAATTTGCGTGTGAATTGAAAGTAGAAACTGCAGATATTGTGGGTACTGAAGATCGTGAATGGCGTTGAATGTGATGTTGAGCAGCTTGAACTTTATCCGTTGTCTGACTGGCAGATGGAGTCTCTGTAGTACTGGTGTGGTGTGTTCTGTGGGTTCAGTTCTTGTAATGATGCGGTCTGCAGTGTTCTGCACAAGCTGCAGATGGGTGGTTGCAGATCCACCGTGAAGCAGAGCGGTAAGTCTATCCTCGTCAGAACATAGCTGTGGACAAGCAACTTTTTTGTGGTTCCAGTGTCAAAATATTAGGAATAGCGGCCGATTTTTCTGGAAGGATTGTGCAATGTTCCTAAGATGGTAACACTGGTAGGCAAGACTCAGGACCTTGAATTCAATTCTGGCTCTGATTGGTAGCCAGTGAAGAGACTTAAGAACAGGTGCGGAACTTTGCTTGCAACTCTGTTCCCGAAAAATGCTATTACAGTAGTCAATCTCTGACGCACCAGTGCAGATGCTACATGCATGTAAATACAGAAAAGTCCAGATGAAGTCCAAGGTTTTACGGTTTTCGAAAATGGAATGACAGTGTTGCAAACTGTGACTGAGTTAGTCAACTTGATGAAATGTTTTCCATCGTTTTATACGGAAAAATATAAATGAAATATCGTCTTCATGGTACGTCGTATGAGGAAATACGTTTCTGGCTCGGATTTCTCGAAACAAACAAAGTCTGAGTTTTGACGTAAGTTACAGTTTTATTCAAATTTAAGAAAAAGCAGGAAAATGCATTTCCCAGAATATACTGAAATGAATATTCAACTCAAACTATAGTAGACAATTTGAGTTAGGTTGATGGGTTACATGAGTTGTTATGTGTTTTTGGTGTTAAAATTACGACTAAGTTAGAAACTCGGCTTTTTCAAATTGTCAAACTCAGTTTGAAATTTGTGTAAAAACGTAAGTTTGTTTCGAGAAATCAGGTCCTGAAACTAATACCACATGTTGCTTTTAGAAACCAGCTGTGAATTTCTTTGATGACGCATAGCAAGATAAACAAATGTATTCCATATAATTTAAGTGGAAATAACTTACCTATGAAGAGTCCAATACAATAGCCTATTGGAGCCTGTGTCCAGAGAAGTCCCCTGGAGGCGATTATTTCAGCCGTGCCGTTAACATAGGCTCCACCAACATTCGTTGCTAAGTGCACAAAAATATAAATTCATTAGACATACCTTAAGAGAAAATATATACATATTTATTACGACGTATGTATTTTGTGTATTCACTCCTTATTTAATGCTTAAGTTTTTAATGTATAAAGGGTATTTTTGTTTGTTTTAGTGATCAGCAAAAACCTATTACCGAACACTTTGCCGCCCGTATGGGTTAAAATTCAACATGAAGTTTAGAAAGTAAAGACCCAAAATAAATTTAAAGTTTATACTACGTTTAAAATATTGTTTTCTAAAGCATTTACTTAACGAATTGTTTGATCGGCATTCTAGAAGTTGGTGAGTCAAAAATATAGCATGCAGCTATATGGATGAAAACGTCTTGTTCACTGCATAGAAAAACGTTTCAATGTAGATTCTTACTCAAGTATCAAACGGTATTCTTAATCTCTGCATATAAAACAATGTCTAGCAGAACATGAAATACAATTTTAATGATAAATCATCAATAAAATGTATGGAAATATTTTATTGCACATTTCAAATATAAATTTAAATATACGAAGGTATCAACGGCTTTCTTACCGCAGAGCCAAAATCATCGGATATAGTAATTTATGTTATGCCTTATGTGTATGTTGTTGCTTATACTGTTGCTATGGGTATATATTATACTGGCGTAGTACATGTATATTAACTAAGGGTTTTATGAGATACATTTTCTACACCTTATGATAATGCACACAACAAACACATTAATGAGTGAGTGAGTTAAGAGCGGCAATATTTCAGTCACATCGGCAATATTTCAGCCATATTGTGACTTAAACAGTTAAAATCTGATAATAAATGGAATTAAATTACAAAAACCTGTCGACAAAGGACAGTAAAATGACTAGATTATCACAGATATAAACGTACAACCAGTAATTAAATCTAAAACATTTTAACTATAGAGGACAACATAAGATAAAACCTGGCTGTAGATCGCCAACAACTGGAGGTTGGTCACCATACTAGGGACCATGGGGACTTACGGTGCTTTTGCTACCTGCATGGACCCTAGTTGGATTCACACCATCCCTTCACTTTGAACGTTTTGGGACTTACGTACCCTCTCAGGAGGACAATAACTTTACGATACTTTAACCCCTTTGAAGGTGCAGCCACTAGCGATCGCAGTTGCTAATTTATACTACCATGTTTAAAATACCATTTATCTATTTACAAAACACATTATTAAAAAATTATCTAATAATTCTATCTCCTTTAAAAATTCAACTATCAAATGATAAAAAAGATCTTTAACTATTTTGAAAACTGATGGCAAAAGATGTGCATTTTGTCATACAAAGAAAATGTCCTCCAGATAGTGAAACAAATGTTCATATGCATGAAGTTGTACGAACAAAAGATATTGTTCGATCATGATCATGCTCAACTTAACACCTAATGATCTATGAGAAATAATACTGACAAGCCCATAATTCATGATGCATATTCTGTGAGACTTTCATGTGGATGGGCAGAAACGTATAAAAAATTTATTGGTAGCATAAATGTATTTTTTTCACCCTGACATTTATCTTTATGTCAATTGCGGAGTATTTGTAATTCAGATATTTTACAGAAATTACGCAATTATAATCGAAGCAGCCAGAAAAATTGGAATTTCGTAAAACTTAAATGGTTAAAATGATGAAAAGATTCGGTTTAAAAAACTTATGATACCAGATGGTTTTCGTACAAAATGCACACACACTATACATCATTTATATAGTTCAGACGAAACTCGAGTGTTTATGCTGTACGTACACTGTACAGCACAATATATATGATACGCCCTCTCCATTGTTTAAGTTTGGGCACCAAGGAAAGATAACAATGATTATGATGAACCACTTTTTCATCAGAGTGAACGACGTTGCGGTGTTGGTTCTGACATCATCACTTGCTTAATAACAGTGTTATCAGCTACACCGAACCCGTGAAGATTCCGGTTAGAATGCATCTTCAGTACCCCATGCTTCTCGTAAGAGGCGACTAACGGGTGGTGATATTCGCTGACTTGGTTGACACCCCCTCGTATCCCAATTGCATAGATCGATGCTCACGTTGTTGATCACTGGATTGTATGCCAAATCCTCGATTATCTACAGACCGCCGTTATGTAACTGGAATATTGCTGTGTGGCGTTAATCAACAAACAGACAACGATTGTTATTCTTCCTCTCTTTAATGATGGCAACGGCTTTGTATCCATCTGGTATCTCGCATCAGTAGAAATAGAGAATTATGAATGGTATGGTCAAAATAGATCTTGTTTACATTCTCGTCCAAAAAGAGGTTCTGGAGGGGTTGGCTTCTTGGTGAACAGTAAGCTTGTTCCATTTACGGAAAAATTAACAGACTTTAATACAGAAGGTATACTGTGGATTAAAATTAAAAGAATTCAGCACCCTGATATCTATATATGTGTATGTTATCTACCTCAACAAGGAACAGGTAGATTAGTTGACAGCGAACAATTCTTCCAAGACCTGCAACAGCAATTCTATACTTACCAAACAAACGGATTAATATATCTGTGTGGTGACTTCAATGCAAGGTGTGGTACTTTACAGGATATCATTGAAGGTGTCGATGAAATACAACGGAGGGAAATATACTGAGTCAAAAAAATAAACTTCACATTCTTTCTTCAGGGCACTATAAAAGAACAAGAGATGGTAAGATGGTTAAATTGTTATTATTTCATTGCTGAAATCTGTGTGATGTACTCGATACACTGACAGTGCCATAATCAGTTCCATTAGGCTACACCGCCGTTCCAAAACATGGGTATACAGAATGTCAAGTCACAAGAATAAAAATGCGAAATTTCTCAGTTCAATATCGTGTATGGCCGCCCCGCGCATTCACCACTGCCAAACACCGTCTCCTCATCGACTGCCTGATGCTTGTGAACACGTGGTTGGGGATTCTGCGCCATTGCTCTTGCTAGGCAGCGCCAAGTTCCTGCAAATTCTGAGGTTGGTTCCTAAGACCACGAAGCCTTTCTCCCAAGTGCATCCCAAACGTGCTCTGTTGGATTAAGGTCAGGGGACCTCGGTGACCAGTCCATAACGCTGATTCCAGCGTTTTGAAGGGAATTTCGTGTCAACATCGCGGTATGCGGCCGAGCATTATCATGCAGGAACTGTAGGCCTGGGTCATGACCCGACATGAAAGGAACGAGTTCAGGGGTGAGCACCTGGTCGCGGTAAGCAGCAGCTGTGAGGTTTCCACGGATGACCAGAAGTCGGGAACGGTTGTTCCCACAGAAAGCACCCCACGCCATGCGTCCCCAAATCTGTCGACTTCATGTACACAACATTGGGCATACCGTTCACGACGTCGTCTCCAGACTTTATGCCTGCCGTCCGCGAATCTGAGGGTAAACCTGGATTCATCGCTGAAGACGACTCGATTCCAGTCTCTCTGGGTCCATCGGAGGTGACGTTGGGCCCACAGCAGACGTTGACGTTGATGAAACGGCGTCAATATTGGCCAACGATATGGACGTCGAGAATTGAGATTGGCAGCCCACAACCTATTTCGAATGGTCTGTGAGGACAGTCGACCTCTAAACATCTCAGCCCTGGTTCGTGTAGCCGGCAAGAATCTGTCACGTAGGTAACGTAGGACGATTTGACGGTCTTCTGCTCGTGACGTCGCACGTGGACGTCCCGACCTTGGGCGATCAGAAGTGGTGCCAGTTTGTTGTAGACGACCTCGCAAGTCATACACAGTACGACGGCAGCATCCCATTGCTCTTGCGACGTCAATAACTGATCTTCCCGCTTGCAACATGCCAACGGCACGTTCACGTTGCACATTTGACAATCGTGGCATTTCAAGTACCGTTAGAACTGTGGTTTAAAAGTGTTTTTTCAATTCTTGAGGCCAATGCAAACACGTGCATATGAAGAAAACTTCGCTGCGAAGATCACTTGATCGACTGCACGTGCAAAACCTGATTTCCCAGCAGGCACATCAACGTTGTTTCAACGTTGAGAATAGGTTGGTCCTCAACGTTGAAATTAAAAATAGGTTGTATATGAAAGTTTTTTAGACGTAGATGTCCGACGTGGAATCAACGTTGAAGTTTGACCTATTATCAACGTTGAAAAAAGGTTGTATATGAAAGTTTTTAATACGTAGACATCCGACGTGGAATCAACGTTGAAGTTTGACATATTATTAACGTTGAAAATGGGTTTTCTCGTGGTTGTATATGAAAGTATTTTAGACGTAGATATCCGACGTGGAATCAACGTTGAAGTTTGACATATTATTAACTTTGAAAATGGGTTGTTCCGTGGTTGTCTGGGAGGTATTACGCTTTCCTGGATATAGACTCGCACTTCATCTTTAAACTACACTAAAGTAGCACCAAACTGATGCATCCAGCTAAAATACCCAAATAGCTACCTGCAAAATAAACAGTGTTCAAACATAAAATTGCAGTAAAAATATTTACCTGATAAAATACTTGGTTAAAATTCCACATTCAATATAATGTTCATTTAACTTTTATGTCAGTTGGACGTATAATTCCAGTAAGAAGACAAGAAAAAATTGTGTCCAGGGACACGGATGCCCCCGCTGGCATTCATAAGACAAAATAATTGAACAAAATTCACAAACAAGTTCAATAAACATCTATGCAACTATGACATGCACACCTTTCGAGTCTCAATGAAACACTTGTATAAGCTTAATCAATTCTGTTGAGCAGTTTTTGGGGAGAAGTGGATAGACTTCATCCCCTATTACACTATCATCATAGAGAAATTCAGCAAAATGTACCTAAGTTCAAATGTCTATAAACTTACAAAAAAAACCAATAAAATAAAAAAACAAAATATGAGATGCACACCATTAGAGTCCCAAGAAAGCCCATGTATAAGTTCATTGAATTCCACAGAGCGGTTATGGTGGAGAAGTGGATAGAATACATTCCCTGTTTCGTACGGACGGACG